GAAATTTTTGTACACTTCACATTTGTAAATCTAACAGCTCATGTGGACACCTCACTGGTGTCTCAAACGCAACATGACCCAGACTGACCTCAGGTCTTCCGTATCTTCCATCTTTAACCAAGTTAAGAAACTGGTCATCCCATAATCAATTAGTTTCCAAGCATAATGCATTTTATTCCCTGTCTCGTGTCCTTTCCGTCCTCTCTATCACCATAGCTACTGGTTTAGTCCAGCTTCTCCTGAAGTGCCCCTTGCCCACGTCTCCAACTTAATATCCATCTTATTTTCCCCTACCAGCCTGGAAAAACACTACAGTCAAATTCATTTGTACAATGTCCTGCCTTGAAGAAGTAGCTCCATTTTTTTGCTTCAATATCTGGCAAAATTTGTGGTACATGACATGCAGGTACTCAAAAATGAAGACAACCAAGGACAGTATAAAGAAAAGTAAATTATTTATTTACTGTCTCACACAGCATCATGTGTCATTGTCAAGTTTCAGAATGATTCTTTTTTATTTATTTTTAAATAATTTATGGGAGCAAGCAGAGCATCCCAAAAAACCTTCTTAAGACATGTATTATAAAGGGACAAAGTTTAGATACGTAAAACAGAGATATCACCTCAGACAAGTCATTTATCTTTCTGGGCCTTACTAATCTGGTCTGTAAAAAAATGAGAGTTGGATTAAATAATCTCTAAATTCTCAACTCCAAATTCAAGGATTTACAAGTTTTACCATTATGAAGACAGGTGATTTGCTTACCAGGTCTGATAATTTTTTATCTTTCTTCCTCATGAATTTTCGTTTTGTATCTTCTTCCTGTTCAAATCTAAAATTTTAATACACAGAGATGTTTATAATGTGAAATGATGTTTTGAAAACATGTCTAACCATCTTCAAACATACTCACTGAATAAAGCGCATTATGTTCTTACAAGCAGAACTATCAGTCAGTTCTCCTGGAATGGTGTTTTTGTCACTGTTAGGCCATATATACAC